AAGCGACGCACGGGAAGGAGATTGGTGCAAATGCGGAGGGGGCGGGGCCAGCAATCGGCGCGGTTTGATTGGCTGGCGCAGGGAAGCCCCGCCCCGGGACCGTGATGCGGCTGCGCTCGGGCGTGGCGCGGGTGGGAGGGCGGCGGGAGCCTGGCCCGGAAAACGGGAACGGGGAACAGGGAAATGGGAAACGGGAGTGGGGAAACGGGAATGGGAACGGGAACCGGGAACGGGAATGGGAACTGGGAACGGGATGAGAACCAGGAACGGGGAGACGGGCTCCGGGGCGCGGGGGCTATGCAGCCACGCAGGGCTGGCACACGGAGCTGCATCCTCCAGGGGAGCAGGAACACAGAGGATTATTTCCTAGGAGAGACCCAAACACGAAGAAGGACAAGAAGGTTAATTAGGATTCCTTTTCCTTCAGCTTGCTGTTAGATTTTCCTAGGTCCTTATTTTTTTTTTTTCAGTTAAACTTCCAAATAGTATTTTTCTCCTTTTTTTTTGCTTACCAATTACTAGGCTAACACATCCAGGCTATGAAAAGGAAGATGGAATAATTAACATATTCTTCTTTTAATGTTTTTTTTTTTTAATATTGCCCCAAGTTTTGTAATTCAAAATTCCTTGTTTTACTCTGAATTTACTGTTCAGCACTGATGAGTAGCATTAATCCATAACCTTGGACGGATGTTACTCAGTGAAGAAAAGAATTTGTACCTTTATTTTCATAGCAGTTCAAATAACATATTTTTTTTCCGATAAAGGGTGTGAATAATAATATCATAGACAAATAAATAATTTAAAGACCTTCTTTTAAACATAGAAATATTTTCATTAGCTTACTTTGCACTTCCATTTTTTAAAATTGAAATCTAAGCATTTGAGCTGACTGTGTAATGTTCTGGCCAGATAAAAAAAGCTTTAGCTAAACCAAATAACATGGTCAAGTTACATGGACAGTGACCATAGAGCAGCATAAAAAACACCTTGTAGTTCAGTTTAATGTCACTTTAAAGCAGAAAGTCAATCAAAAGGCTTCAAAATACTGCCAATTTCATTTGTCTGTCCCTACCCATGTGCAAAATTTTAATTCTACATGCTCCAGTGTAACTTACTTTTACTATTTCTACTTATGTAGGTATATAAATTATGTATGTATTTATCTTCTACCAGTGCAATTATCTTTCTGTGAGCAGAGATTACCCTTTTCTGCTGATAACATTTTGAGTGGTTTATTAGAACCAGATATTTGCATTCCTGAGGAGTCACAGATGCACAGCTCACCAAACTCCTACCTACCATGAAAAAGTGCCCCCATTTTGTTTATTTTTGCTCCCTAACAGTTATTTGGTTGACAATTTTACACTGCACTGAACACAGAAAAATATCTAAATACATCAAAGCACAAAGACCCACATTAAACACTTGTTTTCATAGTAAATACTTTTCCTTCACTGTGAAGCCTCATCCTGCCAGAGCTGTCACCCAGAACTAAAGTCTGCTCACACTGGTGAGATTAGTTCTGAAGATTTCCAAAGAGGAGGCAGATGATTTCACTGAACACACAATATGCATTATAAGGCCGTATTTCAAATGTCAGTATTACAATAATATTTACAGCTGGCAGTTTTTCATCCGAGTTTCCTGGGGCAGTTGCCATGAATTCATCAAATACCTTCTGTTCATTGTTCATGTGGTAAAAACAGCTGCAAGATAACTGGGAAGCCACAGTTCACAGCCACAGATTTGGTGCCCAGTACTCCTAGACGACTGCAGCTGTATTAACAGAAAATAGCATTTTTTGGATAGCACAGCAGTGCTGCTGAGTCACAGTGTACCATGGTAGAGATGCAGCTGTGAAGTTTACTACAGGAATTGCAGGGCAGATGCTCCAGAGATCACTCGTATTTCTTGACAGCTGTTTTACAGACATAAAAGATATTTTGAGAAAGGAATCCACCTTATAAGAAACCAAAGTCTAAACAAATCTTGAGTTTTCAGTGTCGTGTACTCTAGGCCAGAGGTAAAGAACTTAAACAGCAAATTGTCTAGAATGAGAATTTTCTCTTTTGCTGTGTGTTTGCATCTGCCTAATATGCCAAGGTTAATTTTGTGGCAGTGTAGTTTGGCTACCTTTGCCAACTTTTTCAGTCCAGCGATTTGCAATTAGCTCATATGTGCATAGAGGCAAAGTGTTGCATACCAGGGATCAATGAACATAACTCCATCAGCAGATTCCTGCAGCTGAAGTAGCAGAAGTTAATGTGGTTTACTGGAGAAAGGGGTTTATTTTTAACATCTTTTAAAGGTACAGCTTATTGGTTTCACTTTTCAGTTCTCCTCTGTTTGTTGGTGATAAGGGGGAGCAGGAGCTCACAAACCTCTCCCTGGCATTTTTTGGCAGTTCTGTCTGCAGAACTTGACCAAGTGTTCAAGTGAGGCAAATTTATTACAACTGATGATAATCAAGTTTTGGGATTTACTGAAGGCACTTCAATGCTTAATTGCCACTTAGTGCTAAATAAGCATTTAATAAACCAAAATCAAAGGCTGTTTAAATTATATACTCTAATTACATAGTACAATAAAAAGTTTTGATTGCAAAGTCAAGTTGTTGGGTAAGGACACCATTTTTAGAGGTCAGCTCAGAGCTAGCAGTGCCTGACTTTACATAACCTTCCTTCATCCTGCAGTAACAGAGCTGTGTGTCTTTCATCTCTTTATTATAGCAATTCTTCATTTTAATAATGCTGCTGTTGGACACAGTGCTCGCAGTATCTCATACCTGCACAGGGTGCCAGGTTAAGATTTTATATTGGGTTCTGTTGAAAGGAAAAACCTGGGCCGTGCACTGCCTGCTCCTCCTCAGCCTCCCTGTTTCCTGTAACTGTCCCCAAGAGGCTGAGTGGATGTTCTAGGCATGTTCAGGTAGGGAAAACAGGCTGCAGACATGTGTTTCTGTTTTCCTGGTCCTCCTCACTACATGAACACCCCTGTTAGGGGTTTACATATTGAAATTTGATTTTTTTACTGGCAATTTTGTTAGTGGCAAGAATTCCAGATTCCTCCCTGAAGCAGAAAGCTCAAGCTGGGCACTAAAGCAGGAGCCTTCCTTGCACCTGAGGAGTACCGGGGGTACCTGAGGTGCACAGCTCACCTAATGCACTCTCAGTTTTTTGATACTTGTACAGAGCCAAAACAGTGGAGCCAAGCTTGGGCCATTACCCTTCTTGCTGGCTTTTCCCAAGAACCTCAACCCACCCACATGTGAGATTCCTGAATGCATTATGAAGCAGCTCAGATCTGCTGCTCACGGCCTTTTGGGAGGGGCAGTTCCTTGAGAAGGAAGATTTGTCAGATTCCACAGGCTGTACAGGTTTTTCTTGGGAGGGTACGTACCATCTTTATTTTTGCTTCAGCATCTGATCTCCTTACCCCAGCTGAGACAGGTTGACATCGAGATCACTTACAGAAGACTGGTCCCCAAAATCCTAAGTTCAGGCCACTGTATCAGATGTGAATTCCAGAACTCTTGATCCTAGAATACGGTGCTTGCACAACTACTGCACTGTCTTGTATATGAACTCTAAAACAGTCACTTATTTGCATTGACAAGAAAGAAAACTCGGCAACCAGAGGTTGAAAAAAGGTACCCAAACAGGCCACTAAGTGTAAAGAGCCAACCTGACCCAAAGCATTTATTATTTTTCTCTCAACTATACATTAGTGAGGTTAGTCAGCCTGAAGTCTAGACATAATACCAGCACTGCCACACGGCCAGTGCATCAGGAAAGATCTGAACTGCTGCTGCAAGGCAAGCACAGTGCAGTGCTAATTACCATTGGTATGAAATCACTCTGAATGCCAGGCCTGTTGACTCTGTGCTTTTACCACTGTCTTAAAAGAGATTAGCAACTTTTACACCTTCAAACCTTATTAAAAATGATCAGAGAAAGCATTATGTCCCATAAACATCACCTCAGAGAAAATATTCTCAGTCTTAAAGCTGAAAGTGTCAATTTGATTAAAAGCTTTATTTAATTTAGAGTTTCAGCATCTGCAGCTGATGTACTGCAGTCCACAGCAACAACCACTAAGCAATCGGGGCCATTACAGCATGAATAATGCTGCAAACAGTAAATCACCTAAAGCAAATTATTAAAGTACCTGCTGCATACAGTGAATCATGGGAAACAGCATCTCTAAATTTCCAGTTCAAAAATCTTTGCATGTTGTTAGAAATCTGGGTCATCGTGTTCTGAAATATAATCATTCTATACGAGGCAAACATGATTACATCCCTTTGCCTAACAGCATGAGGTAAGCAATTGCAAAGGAATTCTTCATTACAGGCATTATTTTGGCAATCTTCCCTAGGCAGTTGTGGATTTGATTAGCCATCAAGACTGAACTCTATACAGCAGGAATTCCCACCCACGTATGGCTACTGGAATACCAGGAGAGATGAAAAAATGTGTTGGGTTAAATAATTCAGCTGACACAGAAGCAGAATGTACTTTCTGCTTATGCTTGCTAAGCTACTGCATCAAATCAGCCTTACACATTTAAGGAAAAAAGAATTTTCAGAAAACAAACTTTGGGGTTTGAATCCATTCAAGAACTCAAATCTTGTCCCTGAGCACTGGAAGGAATAAAGACAATAAAACAACTGAATCCAACAGGAGTTTATTACCCACACATTGCAGATGAAGTTAGACACTTCGGTTACCAGTCAACATAAGCTTAAGTATTAATTGACAACTCAGAAAGTGTACAATGAGTACAAAATAATTAACAAGAGTATAACAAAAAGTTCTGGTGTATTCATTTTTAAAACATCAGTTGTACACTATTGTACAGCAACCATTATGTGATCCTCAACTAACTCAGGGCTTGCACCTCAAATGTTTTGTTTTTTTTTTTTTAAATCAAGTTCTCCAAGAGGTTGAAAGACTGGGTTACAACTGCATTATTTCCCAAAAGGCTACTAACATACAGCCTTACCTTATTCAGACAAAGCTGGTCTGTATTTTATCAACACTTCCTTTTATCAGGGAAGGCAGTAACAAGAAAAAAAATAATCTATACATAAAAAAAAAATTAAACTCCAATACACAATATTAAATATATATCTATATTGTACTACAGATTTTATATAAATCAAGTGTAGGCCAAATTTTGGCGTAATTTTTAAGTGCATTAAGTTTAATACAAAATCCCCCTTTAGACTCTCTTCTTACTGTTCCCATTACTTGCTCCTGAACTGATCTTTTTCAATTTTGATACTTTAGATGCCTAGAATTGTCTTAAGAGCTAATTTCCATTTCAGTAATATCACTTATCTTTCATTACACTTTCTAACAAAAATAAACTTGTGGGAAAACTAGTGACTAATTTAGTCAAAGTTCAGTGACTAGTAAAATTCTCCAACTTGGTGGGAATTATTTACATTTACCAGTCAGTATCTTTAAGGTACTATTATCCCATGTACCCTCTCTTCTCCCTTGATCCTGCAGGAACAGTTACTGATCATACACTGCAAGAACACCCTCCCTTTTCTTACAAGGCCTCTTACCAACAAGCAAATAATTTCTGGTGCAGAATGGAGTGCAAAGAAATTTTTCTAATGCATGGCTAAATTTGCTTCAAAACCAGCATGAGATACTTGCTTTTTAGAGAACACCTAAAGTGCTTTCTTTAGTCCCAAAGTCCTCTCTGCCACACAAAATCATATTTTGTTTCCAAATTCAGGTTTCATTGCCTTTGTTCGGTATTGTATTGTATGGTAGTGACCCAATTAATCCATCAATTTGACAAATCATTTGCAGTAAATTTTAAAACAGACTTTTTTTTTTTTTTTCTGAAACAAAAAGGTCACTTAAGCTTTCCTGTAGAATGAAGTCTGGCAAGAAGTCATTCAACAAAAAAGTTAAGCTTTGTCAAAGTTGTTTGTAGAATACAGAAATAAATTATATAACCGACAAGCATTCTACATTAGACCAAAGAACCACTCAAGAATCAATTACAGTAAGCTGAGTCACAATACCCCAAGAAGTAAATTCTCCTCTCATTTTAACTACTGACTTTATTCTGGGGTCTCTTCATTCACAGAATTATCGTACAAAGGGGGAGTGTTAGAAATGTGCAGCCAGTTCCACCTGCAGAGAATGAGGTTCCAAGTTATGCCCTTTAGCAATCTTGTAAAAGCAGGGCTAAGTGTGATTTTAACAAGGAAAATCACCCAAAAGCAAGGCTATCACATTTAGAAGCTAAGTCACTTCACACACACTGAGCCTGCTCACAGGTCAGCACGGACTTGCCCTTCAGGACTCATTCTCAGTGTCCTGTGGAAAGAACCAAGTGCAGAACTCCCAGTAAAGTTAGCAGGAGTTGGACAGCAATGCCCCTTCATACCATTGAATTATTAAGTATCTTCTGTGTTGTGTGTGAAAACTGGATTTTTTAATTGAGAAAGCAAATACTGAAACAGAAACAACTTTTAGCACAACAGATGTATTTACTTACAGCATGCAAGGATTTGTTTTTATATATTTTTGCAGCTAGCAAACCTTAATTATTTACAAGTTCAAAATTACAATCTTTACATAAGTAGCAATTGCTTACAGAAGTTCTGGGCGCTCCCTCAGAAATAAGCAAAAAATGGAGTAAAAAAATACTGAAAACAGTAATTTAAAAAAAAAAAAAAGAAAACATATTAGCTTCTAATATCCAGACAATTTAACACTGTTCTGGTAAGGAAAAAAAAATAAACAACACAAAAGCCACATATCACATTTGGAGATGCTGTTTTAAAAGAAATGCATCTTTCTGTTTGGTTTTTCTTTCCAGGAGAAATGCTGTATATAACCTTAAAAAAATCCAAATAAATAAAACCCAACTCCCTTTGGTTTGCCAATTTGCCTTAAAGACACTCCTCCACCTCCTGATCAGAGACCCAACACCTTCACAGGTGATCTCACAGGAGAAAGCAAAAGCAACACTTTTTTATAAACATGGAACTTGTTTCCAAAATAACAGATTCTAAAACTCACCCAAGATGCAGTGCACACATCAGTTCAGACCGAGGGCCAGGTCAGAAAAATCCTGCTCCTATGTTTAAGGCAGTCTCAGACTAATGTGCATCTCTTCAGCCTCTTGGAAAACCTTTTCTTTTCCAAGAGGCTGAAGAGATGCAAATTAGTCTGAGACTGCTTTAAACTTAAATTAAAACTTAAATTTGTGTCAAATTGCTCTCTACCTGCCTGTTGGTTTTATTTAATACAATAATTAAAAAAGGCAAATTTAGCCTGAAGCTTTTTGTAGTAAATGTGCACTTATACCTGGTTCTATAAAGTAGTATTTCTCTCTGGGACTGAGGGAGGTCACTAGCAGGATGTTTATCACCACATCATAAAGGGTTTCAAGCATATTGTCTTTCTGGAAAGACATTTGACTACCTCTTAAAGCTATGTGAACTTTATAAATAAAAGAATTTGGTACCAGCTGGTTCTCACACTAGAAACATTTTTCATGTTCAACTCTTAGATTAGGGCAAAGAAAGTGCTCTAGTTTTACCTGCTGCTTTGTTATGCCCAATTCCAAGGAAGCTTAGCTTATTAGTAAACAAAATTATACAGTACAAATACTTTACTTGGATTTTTAAGCATTTGCATGTCTGCGATTCTTTATTTTCATATTGCATGAGATTTTGTGCTAGCTGCCCTCTTGAGCCTAACCCCTTATAAAACATGAAAATAGAACTTTTTCTCATGTAAACTTCAGTGGAGTAGTTGCTGAAGGTGCTGTATATTCTGATGGCCATTTCCTGGGTAGTAGTACATGGAACATGACATTTTGAACTTACTCAATGTAATGTATAAAAATATAAAAAATACATTTATGACAGTAGAATAAGCTACAGTGCAATTTTCCTTAGCCTGTTGAAAGCTCTGTGTGATCTTTTTCACCCCTTCCAGATCCTCCACAGTACACCTCATGTTTCATTAATACTACAAGAGAGCAAGCACAGCTAGAAAATACAGCTTTAATTATGCTCTTTATGATGTAAACTTGAAGTTTCTAGAAGTCAAATATGTACCTTAAAAAATTAATTTTGCTCACTTACCTTTTCTGTGCTGAAATCTAAACATTTTTGCTATAAACTGTAAAGCTAGGATATTTAAGGAGAATATGCCCTAAATTTCAGAGAAAGTTATCCTATTATTTTTAACAGTCCTCAGACTAATTGAATATAATTGAAACTACACCACTTGCTTAGGGCTCTAAGCGTAAGGCATTTTGTGTACATTCCCCCAGCAATTTATTTAATGGCTATCTTGGTGTGTGAAGCCAAATCAGTGGAAATTCCACTCTCAAAATCCCAGAAACCAATTTACCTTTTCCTGCACATTCAGCATTGAACTGCAAAAGAGGAACAGACAGAAAAATCAGATCCAGAAATACACACTGAAACAAGCTAACCATTTTCTACTGGGTACTTTTCAGCTATGGAAGTTATTTAACACTCTCAGTTCTGAATAACTCAGTTTGAATACATTCATAGCAGTACATTCAGGATGCACTGGAGAAATGCACCAGAAAATTTTTTCACATCATCCAGTGCCAGCGTACCATCAACTTTGTCTGCTTTAAAGAAAGTCAAGTTAATTTTGTAAATCTACATATGAACAGCTTGGAGATACCATCTCCAACACAAACTTTCTGAAAACAAATATTGTTTACAAAAACTGTAGGCTTTGCATTCTATCTAATCACCATATTTCCCAACCAAATGATGCTTTTCCTGAACAACATGTACAATACAAAACTAAGTCATTTGTGTCTGGTCAGACACTAAGACAGCGCTTCCTGCAGTAACTGTTGCTGACGAGGAAAGAACAGGCAACACATGAACAAAACAAAATGAAACAGCTAAAAGGCACATGAAATTACACTTGAATGGAAAAGGATCATGAAAAGCTAAAAAGCACATAATAAAATCCTGCCAAATTTAGACATCAGAAACTGTTCATGCATTGACCATACTGTCTTGACTGCTCACAATCTGTCAATCAGAATGATTACAAGTTTCCTTTAATTGTTACACTGTCTTATAACTATCTAAATCGGGTAAAAGTGATTACCCCCTTTAAATATAGTATGTTAATGCATAAAAATACAGATTTCTCTAGAATAAGTATTATATTTTCTAACCAAATACCTAAAAGCAGTGGTCCTTCTAGATTAGTTTGTAATAATAAGTGAAGCCCATTTCTTTGCAGAATGGGGGGATTTTATTGTTTATATGTTTAAATAATTAATTTTGAATATTCATCCACAGTATAAACAATCTCCAGAAAAATATATCCTCTTGCAGTAACTTACAACACACATTAAAAATACTTACAAAAGGGACTATTGTTCATTTACAATATCTTGAGCTCAAGGACACAATTCCTGGGTCATTTCATTTATGCAATTTTGATCAGGAAAAACTGAACATTCTGGTTAACTTGGACCATGTCAGCAACATGGACAATCTAACATTTTTTAATATCTGCCTAATTACATAGGATTTTCAATAAAATTAGGCATTTTTACATCACAGTATATATGGCATTCCTTAATTTAGCAACAGAAAGGCACAGTTATTAAACCGTAAAATACAGTACCTGAATTATATACTCTAGCGATATCTACCAATGCTAATCCAGACATTTTTCTCTGCAAAGGGGGCTAAAGAAAAAGGCTTCTGCTTGTTTATTTAGAAAAATTCAACCTCATTACAAGTTTGGTCCGTTAGAAATACCTATTAGCTGAAATACCTTGAAGCAGGACTTCAGGAAAGAATACAAGAAAGCAAATTTAACAGTCTGTGGTCCAATGACTTGAACTAATTACCGTGAAATGGCAAACAAATTGTGAATGGAGCCTTCTGATGAGCTGTCAGACATTGCTGCTGAAGTGTCAGTGTACACAGGTACAGACTGGCAGCCATCCCAGATACATTCACTGCATCACACACACAGACTTGGTTATGGCAATAAGTCCAAAAACAGCATTTACAGAGGTCAGCACTTCTCCTGGACTGATTCCTGACTGCTGGCCCTAAACCATCCCCAGAGATGTGCAAAGCCCTTTAAATGCTTTGCCTGCTTTGTATTGCTGTTAATAGGAAGACCCTGCTAAAGCCAAGCCGGCCGGCCTTCCCTTAGCAAACTAGTGCACCTCTTCAAAAAGCAACTAGCTCAGTTCTCCCTACTCAAAGTGATCAAACTGCATCAGGAAAGACCAATGAAATGGAAGAGGCAAGGAACAATAAACATGAGGGAGAACCCAACCATTCCATAGGTAATGTAGCGATAGGGCAGCTCCACCTCCATGCGTTGCCTGGCTCTCCGCACGTCGTCGTGAGGGATGCGGAATATTTTACACGCCAGCGGAATCGTGGCTTTCTTCATGGCCACTTTTGTTAACAACAGAACGATGACTCCAATCAACAACCGCAGGATGGCTTTTCCAAACACAGTCACGGTGAGGGAGGACAGAGACAAGGGCAAGGCGTGGGGAGGAGGATCCAGCTGCAGACCCAGGACATAGTTGACATGAGAGCCACAGGCCACGCCGGCACCGCAGCCCAGGATCTGAGCTGTGTCTCCTCGCGACGTGCTCCACGTGTCCAGAGTGAAAGAGAAGATGCCCAGGGCCAAATGAAGACTGATGATAATTAAGGGTGCGTATTTGTAAGTTAAGTTGAAGTTATCAATCAGGTCCACAACTGGATGGAAGACAACCAGGATAAGAATAGCATACAGAAATCCAGCAATAACATCCTGTTGAAGAGAAAGATATGGTTTCAGTGTAATAGCTATCTTTTTTTAAGATTAAGTTACATTAGCAAGAATACAAGACTAGCTGCTATAGCATTAAAAGCAACTTATGGATTGCAATCTTCTCCCTTTTAGAAAATTAAATCTTTCTTATGTTAAACATAAGGTAAGGAATTGCATTTGATCACCTATTAACAGATCACCTGCATCCTGACCAGATAATGAATGAAGTTATGATCAAAGGATCCTTCATGGAACTTGCAGGTCTGGATATTTTAGTAAGGCCTGTTGTGATAGGGCAAGGGGTGATGTTTTTAAACTGAGAAAGGAGAGATTCAGACTGGATATAAGGAAGACTTTTTTTTTCCAATGAGTGTAATGAGCCACTGGTAGAGGTCGTCCAGAGAGGTGGTGGATGCCCTGTCTCTGGAAACATTCAAGGTCAGGTCAGATGAGGCTCTGAGCAACCTGTTCTGGTTGAAGATGTCCCTGCTCATTGCAGGGGCCTTGGACTAGATGATCTTTAAAGGTCTCTAGCAACCCAAAACTATTCTGTGATTCTTCAAGGATTTTTTTCTGCTGGCAACATTGATCCCTGTCCAGGGCCAGGGCACTCCAACCTACAGTCAGCACAAATCCAGCCCAGCTAAATATGTTCTGCCAACTTAAGTTTGCTGAAACAGCTCAACAGTGACACTGAGGACCCAGGTACCAACACACCCAACGCTGGCAGCAGCAGCAGCAGCTGGTGCAGCAGTCAAGGACCACTGCAGCCAGGAACTAGAGCAGCTTCAACTTTCCACTCCAGCTTCAGAATTAACAATGCTGGAAGAATGTGAACTGTTTCCAAATATTAAAGGAGAGGAAGAGATAACCTCTGTGACTGATTTTCAGTTTTACTATGGTTTTTAAAGGTCTTTTCTTAATGAAAAGGTTAATCAATTATTTTTTACTTTAGCATTAAATTTCAGTTAACTGTTGACTGATCACTAAGTTGCATGGAATTCTCTGCTACTTTTGTCACCTTTGATTGTTAAAGAATAATTTGTGCAATCCAAGCACTACAAAGTAACCTGCCTCCATTTTCATGCTTATCATCTCTTCCACATGAGCCAAGAGGTGGGACTTCGGCAGAGTTTGTATTGCTCCAGCTTCAGTAAATCATTTTTATTTGCTTCCACTAATTGAAAGCTTGATAAAAGCTCTAATAAAATTGACTGATATAAACATCAGACTTGTTCATTTCAGAAGCTACAAAAACTTTCTGCTCTATTTGCCACCTACTCCCCACAAACTTAGGCACTGTGGTTGACGTATATTGCAGGCACCACATGGTGAACTGTATTCCCTCAAACTCTGCAGAGGATTCGGATGTGAAACTCCAAAACAGCCCTGTCTGCATGCTCACTATTTGTTGCATGACTTTGTTCTATGACATTTTGTGTCAGCTGAACTATTGGTCCATCACATCATCCTTGACGGAGTGGCTTTAGACTGGGAAGCCCCCTAACTACTGATGCAAAAATGTCATTTAGATTTTCTGAGCTGCCTTATTTTCCCATGCTCCTTTTACACTGTGTTCATCTACCAGCTTTTCTACTCCCTACCAGGCTTACCCTTTTCTATTAGCTTTTCTTCTAGCACGTGATCTCCAAAAAAATCTTTAGCAACCTCCATTGCAATTACCACTTTGTAGTGTTCTTGTTTTCTCATTTTTACACTGCATACAATTGTGTTTCAGTCTGGGAGTCTTAATTCTGTTTAATAAATGAGTTTGTTTTTCCAAGATGACAACTTTGTTACCTGGTTTAAGAAACTCTGCTAGATGAAACTCTAGCACTCTGAAATGCTCATGCTTTGAGCAGCCGATGTGGAGTGAACTTTAACAGCCACTTTCTCATTCTGCAAAATGACTTCTACTCTGTAGAGGAAAATTTAGTCTACACTTTAGAGCAGTCATCAATTTCTGCACTAAAAATGGCATTAAATACCTGTTAAGTTTCAACTGTGGATTTAGTTTATAAAAGATAAGTGTAAGTTTAGCATGAGAGCCACTCTTAGCCATTTTATCAATTTCTATGCTAAAGAAATGCAAGTCTTCTGTTTCTGTATGGTAGAACATTCCAAAAAATACATCTGTATGCAATTTTTCCCTGTAAAACCTTCAATGTGATTGAAGTTTATAAAATCAAAACAGAATTAAAACAGAAGTTTAGTAGTAGATTAGATTCTTTTCTTACCAAAATTGAATGCATTCCCATATAAATTCGACTACAGCAAACCAAAGAACACCAGCAGAATGCCAGGATCAGTCCAAACATAAGGGGATACTGGTAGGGAAGAAAAATGCACAAACTGTATTACAATTTGGAAAAAATAAATTTAAAAAAAAAATCACTCTATGAGTATTTTCTAATTAATTCCAGTTAATGCCACTGATGCTTACCCTTTTCTTTGCCCTAGCCTCCACAGGCCTAGCAGAGCACCTTTTCATAAAGTCACCATTAAGCCAAGCTTTCACCCTTCCCCTCTCTTCTCTGCATTCCAACTATTTAAATTTCAGTGCTTTGGTCACATCTTTCCAAAGCAGAAAGAAATGAATAGTAGTTGTCTTGCCATGCTCTGATATCCCAAATTGACCACATAGGCAGAGACAAGGGTGTTAAACTGTGCAACAGTTTTACACCAGGTGAAGCAGCTCCATCACATACCAGTACTGTTAGCAACTACCCAGGCAGAATGCAGTGGCTTCACCTTTTTTCCTGAAAAGGAGAAACTCATAAAAAAATTACAAAGAAATTAAATTCCTTCCTCAATTCTTTGTTTCAGAGTTTCTGCAATCGTTGACTCAATCTCTGGACATCAGCATGAAACTCCTAAAACAATAATCTTTTTTGCTCTTTCCAAACCCACACAGGTTTCCTCCCACAAACCATATATTGTTAAACAAAAATCATGAAATAATTACTTCAAATTATTTTTGTCTTGTCACATTTTATTAATAAAGACTGTTTACCAGGAAAAAATAAAATACTTACCTTTAATAAGCACATATCTTACATAGTTTCATAATAATAATAATCACAGATCAGAAACATAGTTTTTTAACTTTCTCAGGTTTTGGATAAAACTATGCTAATTTACATATTACAGCATGGTAAGAAATACTTTCCCCACTATTGCAAAATGTTCTACAAGAGAGGACACAGCTTCCTTTTTTGCCACTATTCTATAAAAGACACAGTCACAAGATAAAATGGCAAGTTTCCAAAATTGCTTTCCTTCCTACGATAAACATTTTCAATATAAACAGGCAGTCTAGATGTACTCAACCCTAGAAATAAAATCTAAGAATTACAGACAGTTTTCTTGCCCTTTCCTTTGTTCCTTTTACAGGTAACCTGAGGGGTAGAATTTCCAACAGATTACAGAAAATACCTTTAAAATTTCTGGAGGAAGTTCTGTGTCCTCTGTGAAGGCCGTTTAACAGATTTGTTAAGTTTCAAAATCTGCATTTTTCCAACCTTCCCTGAATTCTCAACTCCAGGACCATGTTTGCATGACATACCTAAAATAACCATTCTCAAACTAAGAGAAAATCAGGAAGCTTACATTTCACATAAGAAGCAGATTTCACATTAAAACAAATTCTAAACACCCAGCTTATAGCTGTGTTCCATCTAGACTAAACTCTACTTCCTGTAGCAACATTTGTCTTTGCTTCTATCACATTCATCTATAAACTGAATCTAAACAGAACTGTGTACTTGTAACTCATTTCTGACTGCAATGATGAAGGAACAAATTCAGTTTCCTGCCTTTTGGAACTCTGTTAATCCCAGGCAATGCACCCATAACTCGTCACACCACAATTGCAGAGTTATCAGATACCAACACTGCTACAGCAGCCACAAAAGCAGCCCTTTTGGTACCTTACAAGTGCAGCCACATCCCTCTGCCCCATTGTGCTTCTCCCTTTGCACAGGCCTCAGGGTAGAAGGAATGCTGCCTGCACCAGCCACACACCCTCCCTGCACAGTGCTGCTCCACTCTCCCTCCCTCCCACAGGACTCCCCAAGCAGAAATGCTGTCTGTGCAGGGACAGCAAGGAGCACCTTCGAGTTTCAAACTGTTTCGCCATCACTTGATACCCTGTATGTCCATCCTTGTCTCTTGATACACATCTTTGGTGCTTTCAGAGCCCAGAGATAAGGCTTTTCTTTAATAGATAAGGACTTGTCCTGTTTCTGCAGTGATGACATGCAGTACCTGACAGAAGCAGAGGCTGGGGCTTTAGCAGGAAGATGAATGAAGTGCCAGGCTCAGCAGCCGTTCATGATACTGTGGGTAAGAGGGTGGAATTGGGGGAGGGAAGAGGTTGGAACAACTAAACAGTAAAATCCTGAGAACAAGGAGTACGAAGGAAATAGATGAGAAATCTTGTTTTAGAAGTCCTGAGCAGAGGACTGTAAACAGCAGGAAGACCACAGTAATTCTGAAAATGAAAGAAGAAATGCTTGCTGTCAGGGAATTCGCAGGGGAGGAGTGTTTCAGGAAGAAAGAAACAGAAACTCCAGCTCTGAAGAATGTTTTGGAAAGATTATTTGGCTCTGTCATATTTCACTCTAATTCTGAACTAACCCATCTGAGGACATGGATTAGTTAATTTCTCTGCAGCAAAGCAGAGTAGAATAGCTTGGGTTGAAATAGACAGTTCAAAGCCATCTAGTCCAAGTCCCCTGCTAGGGGCAGGGACATCTTTAACCTGAAGGAGGTTGCTCAGAGACCCATCCAACCAGGCCCTCTATGTTTCCAGGGATGGTGCATCCACTTCCTCTCTGGGCAACCTGTGCCAGTGTTTCACCACCAGAAGTAAAAAACTTCTTCCCTGCATCTGATCTAAATTAACCCTCTGTTCAGTTTAGAACCATCACCCTTCCCCTATCACAGAAGGCCCAAAGGAGCTGGTGCCCACCTTTCTAGTTCTGATCACAAATTAAGCCAAACACCCTGCATCCTCCTTGGCCTGTTTGCACTCCCACCTTTTAAAGCAGCCACTGGGTTGAGGAACTCCCAGAACACCAATCTGGTAGCACCTGCTTAAAATCTGCCCTGCGGTGGTAAGGCAGGCGTGTATTTGGTCCTCATACGCAGGGTTAAGTGCACAAGGTGACTGAAGGAGAATATCAGCACTCCCACACACCTCTGAGCTCCGCAGCATGCCGAGTCATACCACCAACAGGGGACATCACCTGGATCCTTGTAAAAAAGGCTGATGCCATAAACTTACTTTCAAATTGTTGCCTGCAAGGCTGAGGTACCAGCAAGCCTTACAATAATACTGTTTTATAATAATATATTTCAGAAATCTCCTCTCCCAATCACAAATGAATATTCAAAGAAAAAAAAAAAAGAACAGCTTTTACTGGGTTTTCTTCTTAAAACATTTTATGAAAGAGTAATGTGAAAACCTGAATATAAATTCATATCAAGTGTTCAGGAAAGAAAGCCATAAGCACTTTTCATTATGTTGACTCAGGTCTTTACTTAAATGAGAGATACTAAAGCAAGACACCTGAATTCCAGCAGTTTTAGTCCCATGGCTCCTGGCATGCCAGATCAGACCTACAGAGGCACAAATGACAAATGATCACAAGTTTACTTCTATCCTCTTCCCCAGTTCACTGTTGGTTTTACTCATTTAAGCATCAGAAGGCAAACTGGCATCACATGTCCATCCAGATGAGGGTGTGGAAGGTTGTCAGAGTTCACAGCTGGGAGAGGTAGACAGAGAAACCAGGTTTCATTCTCTCAGCTTGTTCTTTTTGATGAAAGAATTGATGTATCATGGTTCTGTGACAGACTGGGTGTCACTTTCAGTTAGATATTCAGGAACAGCCCATTTTGGATACAAACATCTCAAACCCTGTCTCCGTGCCCTCAATTAAGACCATCTTATGGTATATCCTCAAAAACTCCTTATGTCTCCATAGCTAACATGCCACCTCAACAATTCTGAGTGTGGAGAGTTTTTTGAAATGCATACTGCTTTCTTTTTTTTTTTTATAAATTCAAGAAACCCAAACCAAAAGCATCTTATCTAAGAAAGAATAATAAAAAAAGTGAATTGATTTCTTAACTTCACATACAAAGATAAAGCTAGGGATAAAGCTGACCGAATAAACTACTCATTGTGTTTCAGATCTCAATTTTGTTCCCATATTCAGAATCTTGTTTTAATTTTGAATTAAATTCATATTTGTAAAACAGCAGTGAAACTACTCTCAGTGAGCCTTTGGGAACTTTATGCCCTACGTTTTTAAAAGAAAACTCTGATCCTAGAGAAAATTCCACTACATCCTCCAAAACAGGCTTGCAAACTTCTGACTGGACTACACACAAAACCCTTCCCTATCCTCCTCCCTCTCCTTGATCTTTTTGCCAAGAGTCTTAATAACATAACCATTGTTTAAAAATGCTCATAAGGAAACAATCTGTCCTAAAAGCTTTGACCTAGGTCAGAAAATTCCTTCTTTCATAAGGGAACATTATTAAAAGACATTCTAAATGCTCGCTTCTTACCTTTTTTAAGCACATTCTACACTGGAGAAGTTTCTAGCACCCACAAATAATTCCAAAGTAACTTTCTAATATTTTCAGTGTTCTTCAGTATTCAATGACCTTTTTAAATTGTATCATAACTCAGAAATCCAACTTGAGTTTGAGACAATTATTCTGGGCTAAAGTTCACTGAAAGAATCCAAGGAGCACCTGCTACACCAGGCTTTTAATAAGGTATTTGGGCCACGTATTGGCAACAGTCATATGAAAAGCTATAATCAATATTTATGGGAATGACTCCAGCACCCTGGCTGGACAGATGAGTTCAAAAAGCACAGCATAAAAATGATTTTGTGAAGGGAGAAGAAAAGGGAAAAGAGGTTTGTTAGAAAAGAGAGACCACCAATCAGTCATTTTAGGAAAAATAAACTTTTTCTTTCAAAATGGCCCAGGTGGTAAATTCCACTGGTTAAGCTACATTTCGCAATTATTTTCTCCTTTCTTGCACTGACTAACATTAATATCAAGAGACATAAAAATCTCAGTTACATGGCACTACAAGAACCTTTTTTTAAAAGTCCAAGATAAACTTTTCAATGCCAGTCCTGAAGGAAGTTAAAATATTTAATTTTCTGCTACACCTGATCTGAAAAAGAAAGTAAGGAGTAACTATAGGAATTAGCTTGTTATTTCTTTTCATTGCAGTCATTAAAGAAATAATCCCTCTCTGAACACAGCTAGCAAGAGTCACTTATGGCTTGCTCTGTTT